AAAAAAAAAAAAAAAAAAAAATTTGTTAAAAACGCTGAAAAAATGCTGTTGAAAATAGTAGAAAATATTAAAAATTCTATTAAATCTTGGTTTTAGAGGTGCTGTGAATATTATAATGTAGGCATTAAATACTTAATAAGTTATTAAGGAGAAACCTTTAGTATTTGTTGACTTTGTGTTAACAAGTCGTCATTGAAATGTAGTTTAAAATGAGGAACATTTTACCTCTTATAATTTTTTTTCAATCTTTCAATATATATTCTTAGTTTTATTTAAACAATTTCGCTTATCCAGCCAACAGAGAATTGTATTCAAATGAAATACCTTATACCGTAAAAATCGTCATCAATCCTAATCACGATGAAATTTAGAACAAAACACGAAACGATTAATCACAGCAAGAAAAACATTCATTAACTTGAACAAATAGTTCACTTCACGTCACTTGTAATTAAAAACACTAATTACCTTTCATTGCCGAAATGTTATTAATAAAGTTCACAAATCCTTAAAACTGCATCCAAGAGTATTCACAGATTTAGTTAAATTAAATATAATTTACAGAAAAGTTCGAATTGTTAGTTTAGGAGCGCGAAGTTTCGTGCGCGTATGAGTGGAGCGGTTGGGCGGGCGACCGCTGCTCTCTAGGGCGGCTGCAAGACAACTGAAGCACCGGCACTGTCGGGACCACCGAGATCATCTGAAGCTCCCACTGATACTGAAAACGATGCGCATTTCACACGCCACTGCCATTTTTTCAACAATTTATTTGACACGCTACTTTTATTCGTTAATTTATCATTCGTCAAGGTTAATTAGTATTGTTTGTTGATGGTTTAGCTATCTACAAAAAATATAAAAAGCTATAAATATACAAACTATTTGTTTTCTGTCTACTAATACTCTTTCTGCTGAAAAGATAAATTGAACTTATGATAAAAACGTTTGTAACTTAAGGAAAAGTAAGGATACGACAGCGGTCATATCACTTGACAGTTATATCTACGAGCTAAACTTTGGACGAGCTGAAACTTGATAAAAAAGAATGTAAATATATTTTCTTAAAGTCCAAGCAAGTATCTTGAATTTTAAGGAAACTAGGCTCAAGGGTACATCAGCGCATGTAACGTAAACGTCTGTTCCACTACGGGCCAGACGAACAGCAGGGCGCCACCCTTATATGGTGGACATTCCACCCATTTGCAGGAAGCGTTTCTCGTCAAGCTTCCTTGTGCGAACTGCTAAGGAATGGAATTCCTTGTCAGAATCTGTGTTACCCGACAAATAGAGGTATAGTTTGGGTGTCTTCAAGTCCCGAGTAAAAAGGTTGCTCATAGGTAGGCGTGCTCTATCGTCGGCCACATCATCGCTAACCACCAGTTGAGATAGTGTCCAAACGTAGACCTATAAAGTATAAAAAAACAGCGCCACTTAATTCGATCCTAACGCCATCTAGAAAGCAATGGGTCAGACAAAATAAATTCTTATACAAATGCCGAAGGAATGAACAGAAGTAGCTGTGGTTTAAAGAATATTTAAGCTATTTTTGTAATTTGACACGATGACACTAAAATTCGACCATGGTACTTTTTTCAAGGAAATCATCTAATTACTTCTCCCGCCTTGTGTTGGGCGAGAGGGAGTGTCAGACTCTTACTGGCTAAAAACCACCCAGTTCCTACTCCTGCTCTTCGAGTCGGAGCCCCGGCAACCCGTTAGGTCTTCCACGGCTCCGTATCGGGCATCAGCCCTACTGGGTTCCATCTGTGGTCTGATAGCTCTTTGAGGTGCGCGCGGAACGCGACACGCCGTACACACGGGTCTGGTTTTGGTCGGGCGGCAAGCTACCCTTGCTCACCGTCCGCAGACCCACACTTACGGTTACACGCGATTTTCGGCGCCCGGTGTCTCCCGCAATAGCTGGTCGAGCATGGCACTTGCGATCATCATCTCAATTAGCAGGCAATGTACGTCTTATTCAGTAGTTTTTGTTTTACTCCGTCATAACAATTCCAACTGAATATAACGTCCACATATAAATGTAGATACAAAGTTAAATTTGGCTTCGGTCCTTTAGTGTTGATACTGTAAGTCAGCTTAATGTCAGAGAAACGTGCCTTCAAGCCGAGCCACTGCGCTGAAAGTCCATGAAGTTTAGAGACTCATCTAAACTATTGTATTCATACGCTTAACACATTAGAGGGCCTAGCATTTGATGAAATTCATATAAAAATAACGTTTCTGTATGAATTGTAAAGTACTCATTTTTACAATCAATTTATTTGTTAAGTTGTGGTCACTGATGGAGAACATCTACGTAACTTACTGCACGCATTTGAAATTTGACTAGATAGTCATATATACCTCTATATAGATAGATAGATAGTTAATAAATAGATAGTAGACGGTTAACGAGATCGTTAACCGAGTGTTCGCAAGTACAACTACCGGGCAAGGGGTCTCAGGTTTGATTTCAGGTTAAGTATTACTGGGTTTCCTCAAAATTAAAAATTCTCAGTAATAGCTCGTAGTCTGGAATTTTGCCCGATATATGGCAATAGGCTCACCCCTATTACATGGGATTAATGACATAAATAGTAAAATGTGGGTGTTACAATGTACTCTGGCATTTAAGTGCCTTAATGTGCACCTCTGCCTTTCCCTCCGAGGATAATTGGCGTGATGTTATGTTATGGAATTTGACGACGTCCAGGTTGTCCTTCTGGAAACACGTAATGGATTTCATTCTTTAGCTGTTCTCAATGTCATGATCAATGGCCAAACAGAATACCGCAAAAGGTCGGTAAGACACTTGTTATTCCGGTGTTATTGCTATGTCCATGGGTGTCATCGATTCGATTGCCATAAAGTATTCACATTAGATTCTGCTCTCTGGTTGAATAGCTAGCTTTACCAACAATTTAGTTCTTTTCTTGAACTCATTTTGCCTTCTGATTTCTCTTACATGTCGTTAAGCTTTTCTCATAAGTATTACAAGGTGAAATAGTGTAAGAAACTTGATAGATTCCATTAGATGGAAGGTATTGTCATAAACTGAGATGCATTAGAAAGATCTATTGTTATGGTGACTTGGAAACAACTGAAAACGGCTTTTGTTTAAACTCACGATGGTTTTCATTCGATATAAGATCAAAAGGTAGCTTTAAAATGCCAATATTGCAAATATAGAACTACATAATTATCTAGGGTTATGAAAAAAACACGGAAGTTATTCTGACGTCCTAAGTATCGCAAGGTCACATTTGCTTCTGGATATGTTGATGTTCAGAGGTTTAGTTGTTTGTTATCAGGATGTCTATCAGAGTCATTGGCTGATGTCAAAGGTACAGGTAGGGAAGGTCTTTAGTATTAGGCCTTCCTTTTGAAGCTATGTATGTATCCATACATGCACAATTGCGCTTCATGTAAGACTTTGATCTTACTATTACTACTTAACTATATTATCATATTTCGTTTAAATACAAAAGTCATTTTACATAATTTTCATTTTAATATAACACGTTTTCATTAAAAACAGAAAGGTTGTCATCACCAAACATCGGTTTAAATTAGTCAGTGAAAAACCTCAATGAAGCCGATTCTATTTTTGGTTCTATAACAAATATTTTTAGGTCACATACAGGCCTGCTACGCGATGGCCGCGATAGTATAAAAGCAGTACCGAGCATTGGTTAACAAAGGCTTTTGACAAGTAAATAAAAGTCAAAGAACACTCAGCTAGCAAAACGAAAATGTTTTGTTGTGGGCCGTAGTTTCACCATGTTCCTCGAAAATATTCTAATGTAATTACTTGTAGCCAATTGGGTTCCCAATCACTCGCATAATAACGCCGGTATCGATGCATTTACTTAATTTAAATTGTGTCGGCGCTCCTTCGCAGAATGAATGAAATGTTTCTAAGTAAATACACAAAAACATCTTTTTGCGATGCGATGTAACTGTTTGGGATTTATGATCTTAATAGACAATCAAAGAACTCATGAATAAATAAAGTGTAATGCATAAATTAAAGGTAGGATAGATATATTTTAATTAAAGCTAATCTTTGACAACAATCCGTTTGAAGGTACAAATAGAATATTTTTCATTGATTCGGGATCAATTGTGGTGCATTTATAGGATTATTCGTCTTCGTCATTTCCCTTACTTCCCCAGTGTTAATAGTGTTATAGTTTTACAATCATTAGTGACATATTTTATTTCAAACAAAACACAAAAGAGTTATCGAGGGCAGGTTTTACTTTCCTTTCTTATTTTTATTCAAATTGAGCTGAAATAGAAATACTAAAGAGCCATGCTAATGTTCTTTTTCGAGAAAAATTCAGATTTTGGTAAAATGTAGGTGGATTATTAACTCTGAGGTTTTATTATACTGTAACGGGTTGAGCAGCGTTTGTTTAAAGCAAGCATTATGTGCTTATTCATTATTACATGTATGAAAGTATGACAAAATTAAATACTTCATTGCACGCAGTGTTTAAATAGTCATTGTTTTAAATTAGTCACTATTATTGTAACACTAATTGTAAAATAAACACGTTCATTGTGGACAGCTAATATTTTCCTTTCTGACAAATTTATGCGCAGCAATATTTTAGTCAGTATACCTAGGTTTTTGTGTTACATTGTTCGTATCAACGAATGAAGTTGACAAAAAGGCAAACAAAATGTCATTTACAATGAATGAAGCACAAAAACACCTTAGGACCTTTAGTTTTTTTGGAAATCTAATAAAGCGTTTATTATTGTTTATTTTCTTTAATTATAATATTAATTTCATCCTTTTCCCGACTTTAGATCGTCCGTAATTTTATTTGTTTATACCTATCTATTGATTTTTTTTCAGTGAACTATCTTTTTTGCATTTTTGGCCGTTTTTGGAGGTCATTTTAACGTTTTTTAAGGGGATAAATCATCGAATGACTTCTCCCGCCTCGATGAGGCGAAAGGGGGTTGTCAGACTCGTAACGCCCCTACTCCTGCAGGAGGAGCCGGAGCCTCAGTAAAGGTTACTGGAGCTCCAGGTTACGTTCTCCGCGGCTCCGTATTGGAATCAGCCCTATTGGGTCCCATGCGTGGTGGTCTGAGGGCTCTTTGAGGCGCGCGCGCAACGTGACGCGCCGTACGCTCGGGTCTGGTTCTGGTCGGATGGCGAGCTGCTCATGCTCACCATCTGCTGGCCTATGCTTACGGTGGCCAGAGATGTTGTTGTACATAAGAGGTGACAATTATAGTTTCATCCTAATCCTTCCCTTAGTTGCCGAGGTTAGGGTGTGTGCACTCTATTACTGTTTTTCGATCACACAATTTTTGTTTGTTTTTTAACAAATTGTAATGTATTAATTAATACGAAAATTTGTCCGTAGCTGCAGATAATTCAACGGGTTGCCGAGGCTCTGGCTCAAAGCAGGTGTAGGAACGGTGTGATTTTTTATTTAGTAAGAGCGTGACATTTCATCATTCATCCTATCGCCTCAGCCACGGCTGAAGATGTCATTGGATGATTTTCTCCACTTAAAGAGGGTCAGATGTTAAAAAATGAAATGAATTCGAAACTACTATAAGATAAGGTGGATGTGTCACTAGGAAAGCTTCCTCGAAATTCATATTTCCATCTTTTTTATCCATTGTATATAAGGAAAATGGTTGATGTAGCTATTGTAAGTAATTCAATAAAAAGTTCCCACAAAGAAAGATGGCAAAGAATATAATATTTACGCCTATTCAGAGACAAAGCTTGTGTATCAACAATAACAAATTATTTAGGTCAGTGCTTATCTTATTTCTCACAGTTTTTGGCTCCCTCAGTTGCCATTCCATACAAACAAGTAGCCAACGAACAACCCTTAATTCGATTTGTATATCATAATACCCGAAGTTGGCCACGTCTTAGCAAACATGGAATTCGGAAATCTACTAACTAGCTCATGGCCAACGTCGCGATTGTCTTTCTGTCTTTTTACAAAAAAGAAAAATAATAAATTTACTATTCATCTGTCAAGTGGTGTAGTGACGACAGCAGAGTTGTATAAGTCGGGAGGGTTATAGTGATTAGTACGGCACTCTGAGTTACTACAAAACGAAGGATAACAACAAAAGGAATAAAAGGTGGCGCGCTTCAACAGTTAATTGTGACGTCACGTCTTTCGAAGAGGAGGGGAGATTGATTGACGTTTAACATTGCAACACAACACTTTAAATGTGAACAAGTAAAAATGCAATAGTACCATGTACGAAAATAAACAATCCTTTCATTACGAACATTTTATTGCTTTATTGCCTACCTACACATACAACATCGTTCACACCACCCTCCGAGATATGTGATCACCCCGACTCTTCCGCATCGTAAGACCTGACTGAGGTACATACATATTAAATAGCACTTTTTGATGTACCTAAACCTTTCCCACTTTCTCTCCTTCTCCTTCGCGCTCTTTCTGATTAATTGCGATGTCCAGCACGCCTTTACTCGTCATAGTAATCATTACATGGAATGGACCCGATAAAAGAACTGATGAAAACTAGGTGTTATAATTTCTATGTACGTCCCTATGACATCACGTATATAACATAACATCACGCCGTTAAATCCCTATGAGGATTTAACGGCGTGATGTTATGTTATATCTCGTAGAACACCAACAGGTGACCTAAATATGTGTAAGAAATGTATCAGACTAAGAACATGAATTTAATCTATCTTTGATTTTACATTTAATAAATTGATACCTACTTGATTTATTTTATCCATTAAGCAAATTCAAAGATTATGTCGTGTCGTAAAAAAGCTTATCTAAATATTTGTGAACAACACCCTCTGGCTATTCTATCTTGTAATCACAGAACTTATTCAGACTACCCATAGCTCCCTAGATGGCGTTACGAGTCGTTTTAAAAGTCGCTATGGTTTCGTTACAAGCGTTTGGTTAGGTACGCGAGGCGATCTATCGCATTCGAGATCCAGAAAGCTACTATATCAAATTTTTGTATGAGGGTTTCCTGTTCAGTGCAGGTTCAACCCTTATTGTAATACACTTAAAATATATTTTACGGAGTGTGGAATAGGTTTCGATGTATTTTAATAAACGCACACTTTATTAGGTACTCAAATGTCAAATATGTGGCGAAAAGTGCGTGTTTTAATACAAATTGCCTTTGCCCATTTACATATTTATATGAGTTAAAATATTTTACTTCAATCAGTCTGCATTCTTAATTTATAAAATGAAATTATATATCATGTGCTCCTTACTGTTCATATTTTAATTAGGTAGTGATTTTGTGTGAGTTTTCAGTTATACAATAATGAGCCTGTGAAGTCAGTCATTTGTAATACGATTAGTCAGCTCATTAAACGAGTACAATAATTTGCTATGAAGAGATTACATATTGTGTTTTTCGGCTTACTCACGTGCCTTTTTGACAAGGAACTCAACTAGTTTCAAGCCATTTTAAAGGCTCATATTCATGAGCACCATTCAGCGACACACGACGCTGTGTACGTAGCGCTGCTACTAATAATTACGTGAGTAAGTCGAAAATATGATAATTAATTTTGTATGTCTCACGAAAGTTATAATACAAATATAGATTATAGATGTACTGACCCATTATTCGAGCAGCGACTTATTACATTATATTGTGTACAGCGTTTCACAGGTATAAGTTGCTCATTAAATCTATACTATTATTAATTATAAAGAGGAAAGATTTGTACCTATTTTTGTATGTTTGTAATGAATAGGCTCAAAAGTACTGGGCCGATTTAAAAAATTCTTTCACCAATAGAATGCTACATTTTTCCAATTTGACATAGGCTACATTTCATTATGAAAAAAAAAATTGTCTACCCCTTGCGAAGCCGGGACGGGCTGCTAGTTGTATGTATTTTTGTAAGGTAAGCACACGATAGACCTCTATGGTGATGCAATGGACTCTCACGTACTGTCGACAGTCGTCGATGTTTTTATTTTTTTATGTATGTATGAGTACCAGTGAGTACCCTGCTGATTCAAAAAGGTTTAATTATATTTTAACAAAAACCTATTTTAGCTTCAGCAGCTATTAATGAATGTTAAAATGGAAGAAAACCATACGTTTTGACACATTGACAATTGACATCATGATTGACGCTAATGAAGTAACATCAAGTCCATGTACAATGTCAATTAGATTTTAAAGTTCATAAAAAATTGGGCACAATTATTGTTATTTTTGAAGTAAATTTGTCATTGTTGTGTTTAATTTTTATTGCAAAAATGTCGGCGTCACTAGATAGCACTTTAGATCCTATGGAAGAAATCCGATTCAGGAAGAAACATAGCGCTGTTTGGGCAGAGATATTAAAGGACACGCATTTCACATTTGATGAACTAGAACGTTGGTATCCAAACGTTTTGTTTACTTTGTTATGCTAGTAACTAGATATTATAGTTTATTTTGTAAGTAGTTTATAATATCTATAGTGCCCTGTATTGGGCTACAGGCCTTATTATAATGAATTTAATAGTGAACCCCTGCCATCTACCCTAGGAATTTATAATAGTATTGTAAACCTGAAGAGTTTCTTTGTTTTTGTTTTGTTTGAAATAAGTACGCTTCGGAACCACTATATGAGGAGGCACAAAAATCGCACCTTTTTAAAAAATTCCTTCAATATCATTTTAACCCTATTAGCAACGATAGACATATGGCTATAAAGTATCATTGGAAAGGAAATTTATTTAAATTTCACAATGAATCAATGGATTTGGTTTTTTGTTTACCAGGAAGTGAAAAAAAGCAAGCTAATGCAAATGATTAAGAAGTCAAATATTGTTATATCAGCAAAAATTACAACAAGGTCTTTAAAACAACTTAAAACTAGCCCTAATGACTGCTTCCATGCATTTTGTTTTGTACGGACTTAATTAATGTAAAAACAGTCTTTTGCGAAATGTTGTCCCATTCTGCAACGACGGCATCTTGGAGTTCTTGGAGTGTGGTAGGGGTAGTACTCGCTGTTTTAGTTCATCTCAAAGGTGCTCAATAGGGTTCAGGTAGGGACTTCGCGTCGGCCAGCGCATAACAGGGATTCCAACTTCTTGGAGGTAGTCTCATACAATTAAAGCGGCTTGACAACGGGCGTTATCATGCATTAACGTGAACCCACTGCCAACAAAACCCGCAAAAGGGACAACCTGCTCCTCTACGATCTTTGTTATGTACCGAGCAGCAGTCAGCGACCTTTGCCCGTGAGCACTTCCAGTCCGAGAAACACACACAAGGTTCGTTTTACCGTCGATTGACATGCTCGAGAACACGCACGGGCCACCCCGTTTTCCACTGTCTCTTCAATACTGGCTAGTGAGAACCATTCCCCTTGCCTAATATACAATCTTCGACGCCTGTTGTTGCTGAAAAGACACCCTCGTCTCATCCGAGAAGAGCACAGCCCTCCATTGGTCTATTTTCCAATCCATATAGTCACGGAGAAATTACAATCGGTCTTTCGTATGCTGTGCAGTCCATTTTGGCGCTGTAGCAGCCCTCTTCTTCTAACCGTGGCGATGCTGACAGAAGATCTGTGCGCTTATTGCGGTTACTGTTGCATCTCAACAGCCAATGCTGTTGAGCTGCAACAGTAACTGCAATCCAATGATAACCCATTACGTAAATACGTCGAAACAATGAAGTGATCTTTTCTTTCGGATGTGCACTGTTGTGTTCCAGATCCTCATCTTCGGATTATAGGCTACTAGTCTCTTGGAAGCGTTAGAACAAAACGACTCAAGTTCAGTTGCCAAGCAACACCACATTGCTGGCACCCTGATTGCAGTATTGTTATGACTTGAGCGACTTCATCTATAGTTGTATCCATCTTCTGGGGTATTTTTCTTGATGCAACTGTTCACGTGTATTCACTTCAAATGTCGAATAACGAATGACCCACATTTAACCCGAGTCACCCGTTTTATATACTTATAGAGAGGTGAAGAGGCAAATGCGTATTTCGACAACATTCTTTTTAACGTTACGTGCTAAACAGATCTGTTGTACTTAGGAGTTTTAACAGTTATTAATAAAATTCTCAGATAAATAAAATTGGGGTGTCTCTTTGTAATATCGAAACAATCACTTTTACTACATGCATATGTACTTTACCAAAATAACACTTTTTACAATTTTGGTCTGTCTGTCTGTTTGTACTGGCTAATCCCTGAAATGGCTGGACGGATTTTGACGGGACTTTTATTAGCAGAGAGCTAAAATATTAAAGAGTAATATAGGCTACTTTTATAGCTCCATACATTTATTTCGCACTGTTCTTTGATTATTTGAATGTTCTTTTTCTTTCAGAAATTATGATGATATTTTACAAAATACAAAAAAGAGATGACAGGTGTCCTGGGACTGATCTCATAACACGGTAATGTAACAAAATATATGTAAGACATAGCTGTAACATAGCTCCGAACGACGAAAATAGAGGGGTGTTACTAGTTTGACCGATCTGTGGCACCGTACCTATGATTGAATGAGTTCTTTTTTATATTTAACTAGCTTCCGCCCGCGACTTCGTACGCGTAATCCCGATTTTTTAAGCCACCACTTGAACGTATAAACAACAATTCATTCAAATCAGTTCAGCCGTATAGAATAAATAACCTAGACTTCGACTGCAGCGCCATCTGCCGGGCTAATTTTTGAATCTAAACCATCCAGGGCGCCCCTCAAACGCATACAGAAAAATTCATTTAAATCGGTCCAACCGTTTAGGAGGAGTTCAATGACATATACACGCACAGCAGAATTATATATAAAGATGGGCTGACGTTTGACCACTATCTCGCCTGGTGGTAAGCGATGATGCGGTCTACGATGCAGCACGTCGTCCCATAAGCAACCTATTCACTCGGGCCTTGAAGACTCCCAGGTTCTTGAGGGTTCTTTTTTAGTAGAAAATTATAGCTGCGGTTGTTTAATTCTAAAATACATTTATTTATTTCTGAAACCGTTCGAGTCATTTAAGAGTAACAAGCAGATTTTCTTGACCAGGTCGCTGGTTATCTATAGTGTAATATCGACATCAATGTAATATACTAAGAGTTTTTATATTTTTGATTTTATGTAGGTTGGAAAGGATAATGCCTAGGAATGTGCTTTAACAAGCGTTGCACCGCGGGAACTCCAGAGTTCTTCAGAGGATCTGGTGCCCCTTACAGGTGCTGATGGTGACCACCGAGGTGGTTTTAGTGAGTTACGAATCCCACACTCCCTAGTCTTTGTTCCCAAAAAAACTAGATGCCTTTTAAAGGTTTCCCCCGTCATCAAAAAAACTAGGGATAGTGAATACCGTTTATTTTTATCTTCATTTCCATCTCCAAACGACATCCATTATCGTGTAAAATAACAATGTAATGTGTAACTGAAAAAGAGTGCCTCAAAACCTCATCTTCAGTCTGTCATATGCTCAATTGACAACAAAACGTTGCGACCCTATATAATTTTGTTTTCATTAGGGTACACTAGGTAAGGGTCGCCTTATAGGGGTTAATTACAACAGCGAAACTTTCATAAATACTTAAGTCGAAAACTTTTAGTTGAACCAATTTAATCTATACATCTATATATAGATAAATAAAATTGGAGTATCTGTTTGTAATATTAAAATAATAATCTTTTTACTACATGCATATGAATATGTATCATAAGAATCACGTAACATATATATTGCTGTCCTTTACGACGGTGCGATCGTTCCGTTTACTAGTGACGTCAAGGACCTCGGTTTACATATTGACAGCAATCTTAACTGGCATGCACAAGTCATTAGTGTAAGCAAAAAGGTGACTGGATCGCTGCGGGCTCTTTATTTGCGTTAAAAACTTGCTTCCGTCCGACACCAAGGCAATGCTGGTACAGGCCCTGTTGTTCCCTATTATAGATTATGCTGATGTGTGTTATTATGACCTGAATGCAGAACTCCTCAATAAACTTGACCGACTTCTGAATAACTGCATTCGATTCGTTTTCAACCTGCGTAAATATGATCATGTTTCTGCATACCGATTGCAATTAAAGTGGTTGCCCATACGACAGCGCAGGGAACTAAGGGCGCTAACCACTCTTTTCTCTGTTCTTGACTCGCCTCATTCGCCTCATTATCTGTCCTTACACTTCCAATATACATGCGCAAACCACAGCAAATATCTTCGCTCTTCTAATAATCGCCTCCTCCAATGTCCAACACATCGTACTAAATTTCTTCATTCCTCCTTTTTTGTTCAGTCTATTCTTCTGTGGAATGCGCTCCCTCCCGATATCAGGATGGTGCCCAGTCGTTTGTCATTCAAGCGGAAGGTGCGGGAGCTACTTTTGAGGAGGTTGGCAGAATCGTAACTATCAATATACTATGTATAATTATGTTACGTCTAAGTAGTATATGTAATATAATTGTGTAAGTTTATTGTTATGACATATACATGTAAGTTTATATAGGGATTTATTTTATGTAAGTCTATACTATCCGTTTTTCTATGTATTTCTGTTGAGTTTTAAATACGCTTGCTTCTTGCATCGACCATTGTTTTTGTCTCTGCATCACCCAAAGGTCTGGCTGGAGGAGAATGCCCTAGGCATTAAGCCCACCTTGTACATAAGTTTGTGCATGAAGTCTTTTAAAATAAAAAAATAAAATAATGTTACGGCTAATACTCGAAGTGCGGCTACACCTAATTTTAGCCGGTTAGATCTAGGTGTAGCCACTTACTATTGGTTAAGCCTAGGACGAACCGATTGTTTTCGGGTATAACTAGATCTAGCCTTCATCATGTCGGCTACAACTAGGTCTAGCTATTCCCTATTGGATAAAACTAGGTCTATCCGATATCATTCCGGCTAGAACTCGGCTCCAGCCAGCCAATTAAGGCAAGTCGGAGAGTTAGGAATAGTGACTACTCCCTGGAGCACTCGGGATGATGGTAGCCCGCAGGGTCGCTAATGCCTGTCACCTCACCTCAAGGTGCCCTGCGGCTTTATTATTATTGTTATTTCCTTTATTTATTTCTATACTTGACTTATATATTATTAAATATTTGATTATATACAAAAAAAACATTTAAAAATATAAAAAGCCTACCAGTAACGGAAGAAATTCAAGCCACCGGTGGAGAAAGGAATTTCCGGATAATACGCGTCGTATCCAGAAGCACTGCTTTCTGCATCAGGCCCTTGACCCAACCATCTAACGCTAGCCTACTCAGATGATGATCGAGGCTTTTAGCAATGAGGCCATTGGCAGATACGACTATCGGCACAATGACTGCTGAATCCACATCCCACATGTCGACAATCTCGTGAGCTAAATCAAGATATTTACTTGCTTTATCTTTTTCAGCTTTCACAAGATTCTCGTCATGTGGGATTATTATATCAACTATCATTGTGTGACGGCTTGGTCGATCTATCACCACAATGTCAGGTTAATTTGCAACAATTGTCCTGTCTGATTTTCGATCGAAGTTCGATCCCAATACAGTGCGACATCTCCATTTTCAAGGACTGGGTCAGGCAGATACTTATAATACGGCACTTCAGATTCTACAAGTTTATATTTTAAAGCAAGTTGTCGAGAGCTACTCGAAAACTATCGAGCGTCCTCGAAAACAATCGAGCATCCTCGAAATCTATCGAGCTTCCTCGAAAGCAATCGAGCATCCTTGAAATCTATCGAGCGTACTCAATCACTTTCGAACGTCCTCGTAATCTATCGAGCGTCCTCGAAAACAATCGAGCGTCCTCGATCACTTTTGAGAGTTACTCGAAATCTATCGATGCATTTTTTCGATGTCTTGATTGGTACGTTCAACACTACCTTATGACTGGCTGTGTCGTGGTTTCCCATGCATAATCTTCAAACCCGCCACATGTGTGACGTCAAACTTTCCACAACTCGATTCGCGAACTCTCTGCCATTGTCGGATTGAAGTATTGAGGGTGATCAAAAGATACTTCTTCCACAGTCTAACTTTGTAACGGATAAAGTTGTACGAATTTCGTGAGGTGGTCCTGATAAACTTGTAGTCGCCACCTGGGTTTGTCTGCATGTCTATCAAATCTACTGCAACGGCGGCAACGGCTGTTTAGCTCGCTGGATAGGCCAACAATGCATTTTTTGGTAGATTATTGTTTCATTTGACATGGCTTACATAAACGAAGATACAAAAGAATCGACTCCTGAGTATATATCACAGAACATATAAAGGAGGATAGAACGGCCTTGTGGGCGGTACACGCGTGCCGCGGTTATGAGCAAATAGGTACTCCAAATCTACCAAAATGTCAAAAACCGGCCATCAAACGCAATGTTGTTGTGACAGCGTACGAAACTCCGCAAATAATATTAAATTATGCCGTCTTGGACTATTGTAATGTGTCGGAAAAGAAGACAGGTGTGCAATGTAGCACGAGAAGGGATTTCTTTCCACCAGTGACTCCAAAAACATTAATATTTATACTTGTGATATTTGTAATTATAACATTAATATTATGACGTTTCTAGACAAAAACGACATTATCGCAAGCAGAATACATTGCTTGCAATAGATACGTACCGTTTTGCACTACATAAACGATCGCGCAATGTATTACGTTCACAACGAGAGTCCCGAGTATCAAATCAAAACGTCATTTCCTCGAATCGATATAGAGAAGTGTCAATTTGTAAACAATGTCGATAATTACTATGATACAAAGGATTATTATCAAATTATACACATTATAAATAAAATAATTTTATTTATTACGACTAATTATGAAATAGGTTTTAAGTGAGGCATTTTATTCGTATTTCAGTTTTATATAATTTTTTGTGTTCGTTATGTTTTGTTCAGTAAGTAGACTGATTTTATGATTTAGGAAATTTTGTTTTACATTTCTACCTTGATATCATCTAAGCGACATCTAAATCATTTTTCGTAAGATACTCTTTCATATATGCTTAGGCCCAAATTGTAAATAGTTGAAACTATGAGAAATTCTTAAAAGCCAGCTGAAATTTTAGTAAATAATTTAAAATAGTTGTTGAGGTTTTCTATTCGAGAACAAAGCTATGACAACAAATAAGATGACATTATATCCTGGGAGCGATTGTATTGTACCTTTTTTAAGAATAGCTATGTACACTTGATGACTTTTCTAGTTTTCAGAGCTTTTAGAGCTGACTTAATTTACGTGAGCTAAATATTGTGTTGGCCTGGAGGTTGCGGCGCTGTTTCATACAACTTATACGTACTTTCTAAGTTAATTTGCACACCACTCACATTCAGTAAAGGAAATTATGTAACCGAAACTATATAATAATTCCTATTTATATTAACTATTAAAGAAATACGAACGACGATTATCGGTTGTCATCATACGAATGTC